TTATTATTATAGTAATAAGCACATTAGATGATATCGTGGCCGTATATGCCGGAATTGCACACAGGAAAATTGAATTTTATCTCGAGCGATATAGGAACTGTGTGTTTTATAGACGTGTAAGAAGAAGAAATACATATTAATGAATCTCGATGGATTCAAAACAATCACAGTTGATCATTAAGTTGCACAAACACACAAGAAGGAATCCATCCATATACACATACACACACGCGCATTAATGTGATACCGTATATTTTAGTGTATGCCCAAATGAAATTGAGAGATCCCGTCGCGCGACCATCGATTCCCTTTGCGGCGTGATTTATCATTAATCAGTATAAAAAGTTCATCAATGGACACTAGTACAACTCGAACCAAGATGGATGTATCATGTATTAGTATATTTTAGTTTTAAATACGACTAATTACAAAATCTCGAGTTATAGGCTGACACAAGTCTTATCCCTCCTCGGAAAATCCAAAACCGTAATACCCATCATCTCACCCTGCATGGCGCATAATATATGTACATTCTCGTATAATTGTATTCCCCGTATGCGTCCATAATAATAATATTATATTATAGGCTAACCATAATATCGCCCAAATACTAGCAGGCATATATATATATAGAAAAATGGAATGGAAGTTATACAGCACACGCGAGCCACTCGTTACACAAGTACTATATACATATATATACACCCACGTCCCTCATTGGGCTTTTCCACTTGCACATGCACATAGATATACAATATATACACGGGCACAATGTAATGTTGGTCTCTCTCTCTTGTTTCAAGCTTCTGTTCTTTGAAATAAACTCGTAGAAGTTCTCTCTCCCTTGCGAAGAGGAGACTACACCACGCAGCAACAACAGCAGTCGAGTCCGGTGAGTCATGTGCACTCAGTGCAGTACGTACCTCTGGGATCCTTTGGCTGCTGTGTCCACGGCCCTATCGGACATCTCGTGCCGTATATCACGAAAGCGAGAGAGAGAGAGAGAGAGAGAGAGAAAACAGTGGCAAGGAAAGCCGTCCGTGGCCGCATTGTTTACACCGCTTTAATAGGTATTCATTGTCGGGCCGAGGATCTTTTTTCTCTCTCCCTCCCTTACTTTTAGTTACGTACAGCTGCTTCTTCTTTTTATTCGCGAGAGAACTCGCCCTCACCCCCGATTTGCACGAGCCACCTTTCACCTTCTCTCTCTCTCTCTCTCTCTCTCCTTCTCGTCCCGACCGTTATTAGGAAAGGATCCACCTACTACTGCAACTACTACTACTACTACTAGCGATACTCTTCTCCTCTCAGGGTCCCGATTAATTAGAGCCCCGCGCGATGCGCTGATTTTCCGGAGGCAAGGGACCCGAGAGAAATAAGTACAACTGCAACTGTAGAAACCGATAGCCGATCTTATTCGTCTCTTTGCGCGCACTCGATTCCCCATTACTTTTGTCTTGTGTGTGTGTGTGCGCAGAGAGGCAATTAACCCGTCTATAGGCATAGATGCCGTGCACATGATTTCAAGCCCGCGTTTTCAACTCTCATTGCCGCACTTTGCTCCATAAGTTACACCTTCTCAACCCTCTCTCTTTTCTCCTCCAGCCGGGGTGTCCGCTTTCTCACGTTTAAGGAATCTTTTTCAAAGCCACCCCCTCCCGAAAAAAGGGGGCATTGGGTGAGAAAGTCAAAAAATTTTCTCGCACATCTACTTGCGCATTTGCACTGTATCTTACCTATATTATTATGCAATACTAAGTATGTATGAACGTATGCTCGAACTATGACCGTCACGTGTTGACAATGTGGATGACGAAATTTGACTTTTGCGCGTGCGTGCGCAGATGACGAAAATACACGTCCAAATCGTCAAAAATTGCAAACACTCGTGTAGTACTTCCATGGCAACGCGCGTCCATGACTGCGGCTGCATCCTTTTTTTTCTTTTCAATATCGTATGTATAGACAACACGCATATACAGTAGGAATATATATATTTGTGTAGTATCATTTTTGTCAATTTTCGATATCTCACCCAAACACCTATTTTGTTTGTCACGACAGGCATAGTATCTGCTGCAGTCACAGAAATTACGCGCTGATTAATGCGTTATAGAATATAGATAAAGATAGTAAAAAAAAAAAAAATATACAATCCAACGTTTTACACGACATTTTTTATGTAAATAAAAATACGTGTGTATATATATATATATATATATATGCATTCGCGCGTGTGTGTGTGTTTACAAGCAATTTGCCGGGCTAATTCGATTTTCCATCTACAAACATCAGATCAATCGATCATCTTCTCCTCTCCTTCCTTCTCGTCGCGTTCATTAATCATTTCTGATGGCGCTTATACCCCAACTCCATACCCCGCACAGGCAGGCGCGTGGAAATCGCTCCGGAATTAATACGCAACCTTTTGACTGACGCAGTGTGCGTATATACGTATATACATACAATTAAGATTTGATTGCGCTCATATATATATATATGTAAAAGACTATAAATATGAAATTTCGTTTTACAACTCGCACTATGTATAAACACCCATAGCACATGTGTACAATAATATATACCTATACCTTCATTGTATTTTATACAGTATGCATGTATGTTCCCGTTACAACATAGTATAAGTGCGTACACAGAGAGGCCATCGTATTGTCTGCCACCGTAATTATGTCCCTCTCTCAGAGGAATTATAAATACGATGGTTGTTCTGCATCGCCTAAAAGTCATTACGAGCCTCTGAATATTATATCAACGTCAGCGAAAAAAAGAGAGCGATATCACGGTGATGTACGAGTGAAAAATTGAGATTCGTCGCGCCTTGGATTATTTGCCAAATTAAATTATTCATCGTCTGGAAATTTTTTTTTTTTTTATAAATATGCGGTACACGTAATTACATCATCGTCGCGTGTATAATGTATAAGCAAAGATCAACGACCAGATATTATATTATGTACAGCGTATTACGTGTACTAACAATTTTTTACGTTATATCCTGGAAAACAAAAAAGTAATATCTACATAATGTTATCCACATATATATATACCTACTTTTTTTTTGTTTGTTTTGCGCGCTGGAAAAAAAAGCCAAGACTTTGTAGATTCATGTTCACTTAGCCACACTTATAAAGTATACTCAAGAGCATTGTGTACCCATCTTACGTCTACATTTGAAATATAAATCTCCTTTTCTTCTGAAGCGCTCGCCGCTCGCGATTGCTATCAGGGCGATTATCGAAGCATAATATTAGCGTGCAGCTATAACGAAAGAAATATAATATTATGTACAAGTGGATGCAATATGTTGCATGTGTTAGCAGCAGAGCCGGATCATCATTATTATCATGTGGAACCTGCGCAACCCCCATCAACCTACATATAGATATATATATATATATATATATATANCTCTGCAGTGGCAGTCTTATCTTTCAGATCAATAAAACACATTTCTCTTCAATTTGCTCGAACGTAATATTATATGTGTATATATATATATATATACACATATATATATCCCTGCGATATATATATATATATATATATATATATATATATATATATATATGACAGAAGCAGCTGTTTGCCGATCGCCCGACACCGCAAGCTGCAAAATTGTCGATTATCAGCGGCTAATTGCGCGACGCTGCAATTGGAAACACTGCACGTTTAACACGTATACTTTTTATACAACATCAAGCACGCCTGTGTCTTTATCGAGTCTTGCATTATTATTTCGGAGGTCAGCTGTTGCGCACACTCGTGTAACGAGTAGATTTTTATCGCCATCTGATAAGGTTGGCCTGTCTGTGTATACACGCATGAGTGTTTTTTTTTTTTTTTTTTTTTTTTTTTTCGTCGCTACGCAATTGTATCACCACTCGCGTAAAATTTTGAAGTTGTGCGGTACCCTCGGGATAGTATATATATATATATATATCTTTAGTAGGTATACACGTCGACAACAATCCAACCTGCACCTACCACTGTCCATGATACTTATTGTTTCTCTCTCTCTCTCTCTCTCTCTTCCTATTATGCTAGATCCCGGAACTTTTCGAGTCTCTTTTCCAATTCCTTTGCCGCTCTACATACTTACTTTATCGTCCAAAACGAATGAGCTGCTCCTCCTCCACCTGTACGATGTATAGGTATGCGCACGCCACGTACTGGCACCTCGAGCGTGCAGTGTGCACTTATTATATACACAGAGGTATATGTATTATTATGCGCCTTATACCTACTAATGTTATTCCGACTGCCTTTTAGCTCCTCCATTATGCGCTTATTAGTGTGTGTTGACTGTTATTTCGACAAGCGCGCAGCGTTATAGGTACATTATGTATATATATTCCCTTTCTCATACAATGAGGATCGCTTCCCTTCCTTTTACGCTATTCCTTCCGTGCGGATCTCTGTTTTTTTCCTCGGGAGGCGATTTTAATTTGTTTAACTACGAG